CCAGGTTGCTCCAAGCCTCATCCAGCCTGGCCTTGAAGGCATCCAAGGGTAGATGGACGTAGATTATGGGGTAGATGGAGCTTGCTGCGAGCTGGGGGGTTCTCTACCCCCAGAGGATGCTGCAATGCAACGCTTGCCTTTATTTCTTGCACACTTTCCCCATAAGAATTTTGTATGATATGTGGTTTAAAACTACTTTTTAATGCCATGCTTTGCAACGCCCTGGTCTCCCCAGGGACACCTGTACTCCCCCTTGAGTGGCAGGGTGGGTCAAGGGGTGCCAGACTCTCGCTGGGCAGATGTGGGGTGCTGATGTGAGGAGTGGGAGCATTGGACAGGGTGCTGCTGCCCTCTAGTGGGCTCAGCCTGGAAAGTAGGGTGGCAGCAGGCAACCTGCTCTGCACCAAGAACTTGGGTGCTCGGGAGGGCCAAGGTGGGACATGGGGCTGAGGATGACACCTGCCATGGGATGGAAAAGGACAAGGGACCAAGTGGGCACAGCATCACTCCCCTTCCTGGGAGCGGAGGAATCCTGCTCTGCTCCATCCTGGACAAAGGGTGACAGGTTTAAACAGAAAGCAGGGAGATTTAGATTGGATGTCAGGAAAAAATTCTTCAAGGAGAGGGTGGTGAGGCACTTGGACAGGTTGCCCAGAGAAGCTGTGGATGCCCCATCCCTGGAAGTGTCCAAGGCCAGGCTGGATGAGGCTTGGAGCAACCTGGTCTAGTGGAAGGTGTCCCTGCCCATGGCAGGGGGGTTGGAACTAGATGGTCTTTAAGGTCCCTTCCAACCCAAACCATTCTGTGGGTCTACGATCGTTCTCCCAAGATGACCCCACTGATCTGCTCCTGCCCTAGGACCCTCTGAAAGCAGCACCAGATGCTACTGACAGGCCTGATCCTGACAAATAAATTGCAAATTCATTGTAGCGAGCGCCTTGCATGGGTGCCTCAGCACCAAACCACACTAGGGGTCATCAGCCCAGTAGCTGATTTCCTTCTGTTGCCCGCAGGGACATGCAGGAGCATTCATTCGTAGCCGGTGACAGCTCCAGAGGAGCCATTATGGGTTACAGTGCCAACAAGCCATGAAGCGAGGAGGCAGGTGCATGGCCGCATCTCCCAACACCGCAGGTACCTTCTCCTCTTCTATTAAGAGAGCTGTTGTGTACTTAATGGAGGGGAAAATCAAAACACGTTCCCACCACGCTGGAAGGGCTGATATATGGGCTGGGTGATTTTTATTACTGAGCGTGAAGCTCCGAGAAGAGGAAATTTCAACCTTGAAGGCAGGAAACTTGGCTGAACCTCTGTGGGTTTGCTGGGGTCATCTTGATGGGGTTTTCCAGGATAGTGGGCACCACTGTGCTCAGTCTCAGGACCTGAGAAATAAACAAGGGATTAAAAAAAAAAAACCCACACAAACCCCTCTTTGCACCTCCTCTGTAGTCATATGATGCCCCTAAGAGCTGCGTGAACTGCTCCCAGTCCAGGATGCCCAGACCAAGGAGCCTTGCACATGGCCTCAACTCCAGAGCATAACAGGAGCTCCTCTCCCCAGGGGCAGAGGTTGGAGAGACCTCAAGTTCTTAGTTACTATAAAACTATTTTTTTGCAATATTTTTTGCACTTTGTACCCATGTTGTGCCCCAGCACCATAATCCTACAGGACTCTTCCATTTCCTGGTCCAGATGGAGAAGACAAGGATGGAAAAATCCAGCTCCATAGCCTCTTAGCCAGAAGGGAGAGAGCACCAGGCTCCTGCGGATCTGATCTGAAAACATGTCATCAGACGGGGGAGGAGATCCTGGCTACAGAATCACGAGCTTCCCACATCCACTGAACGTAGGTGGGAAAAAGATCTACTGCAGCAGAACAACATGTGGGTGGCTTAAAGTTGGTAGGGCTTTGAGGTTGGTGCTGGGCACAGGAGGTCGGATAAAAGGGGAAACACCTTAAATTGCAAAAATATGCCTAAGAGTCAGATGCTATTTTAATCCTGACTTGGTAGACAGGAGAAAAAGAGGCTCCTCAGCACCCTTTTATATATTAACCCAATGTTGGAAGCACTGATCCTGGTTTATTACCTTCTAAGGGGGCTTAAACCCACCTCTGTGTCTCTAAAGTGGGGTTACTATGGGCATTAACCTCCTATGGGTTACATTGGGGTGCACAGTCCCTGAGCAAGGCACTTCTCTGGCTGACAGGACCCACGGTCCAGCCCCACAACCATGAGCTTGGTCATCTTCTCCAGATGGTGGGGGGGTGGGGTCCAGTGAAACACAGACCTCCCAAAGGAAAAGACAGGAGGGAGATGCCACGTCAAGGTTTTGTTGTTTACCAGCTACCAATGAGCTCTTCCAGCACAAGTGATACCTTCATTCCCATTGATGTGCTCTTCCCAAAACAGGGGGTTTAGAAACCCTTGTGGTCAGCTGCTCTGGAAACCCAAAACCAGCAGATAAAAACCACGTGGTGTGAAGCAAAGATGACTTTCTTGAATGGTTTCCTTTTTTTATCCCCAGGAGAAAAGTGCTCAAGGGATCCAACCTCAGCCCCACTCCCCATCTCCTGTATTACCATCAAGAAATAACATGTGACAAAGCCACCAGCCCCCACTGGGAGATGGAGAGCAGCTCATCATAGGCTGTTGAACCAATCCGGATGCTTAGGAGCTTGGTTTGCCCTTGGACCAGGTTTTACTAGACCCAAACAATCTTTTCCCAACATCAACAGCTCCAGATTTATGTAAAAATGACCCAAAACTGATTTATTCAGGGCTGGTTACCCTCCATTGCTGGTGCATCCAGTTCCACCTGTAATTCACAACAGAGATGCACGCTATTAAGTGTTTTCAAATCAGTGCTTTTTAATCCATAAAAGGTGAAATCCATGTACAAATTAAAAAACAAAAACCAAAACCAAACCCAAAACTAAAAACACCACTGTTAGAGAGATTACCCAACTCGCACAAAACACAACCCCTCCACCAAAGGAGGAGTCGGGGGATGCGGGTGGCAATGCGACACGCAGGCTCGCCGCTTGGGCACGCTTCTTCTAAATAAATACATCTCCAACTTCAGAGATGTCCGTTTCAGCAACACATTTAGGGTCGGGGGAAGACGTCGCCGGGATGCTTTAACGGCAAGGTGGCCTTTTCTGTGAACCCACCCCCTGCCTTACCGCTCCTGCGCCAAGCAGCTGGAGAGATTACGCAGAAAAGCCGACTGCACCAGATGGCCTCGTGGTGGCAGCCAGATCTGTAATCCGGTCTGATGATGTCTCAGTCTACAGAGAGGCCTCCTGGTCAACAACGCAGAGTTAGAAGCCCTCCTCGAGTTCTCCTTAAATAAAACTGGGGCCAAAAGCTTGGCACATGGGCACGAAGCCACCTAGAAGAAATCACGGTACAACCCCGGGGGGATGCTCTCGTGATGATATCCCACTGCCAGCACGTGTTCACTTCATTAAACTACCGCTACAAATTTTTCACAACTTAAAAAATACAAAAATACAATTGCATCTCTGAAGGGTATTTTATACCTACCAAGATCATCCAAGCACTGAGGACCAGACAGCTCTTTAGCCTTCAGAAAAATAATGCACAAGGCAGAAATGGGATGGAGAAAATTTTGCCAATATATCTAAGCACGTATTCAGTGTCTCCCAGCATTTCCAGTACAATTACCAAGATGCATGTATCCATCAGCCCAGCTCGAGTACGAATGCTGACAGCACAGTGTTAGGGTATTAGCAACGTGTGCAAGATCCAATACTAGCACAAATTTAGTAGTTTAATAATCTGGAGGTGCTATCTTCCTGGAATTTTAATCTCATACCAAGAAAAAAAAAAAACCCAAGGCTCTTAGCTATTAATCTACTCACATATTTAGGGCAATCCACCTCTACTGATTAAAAATAGCAAGACAACAAATGCACATTAAGTCTTTCCCTTTTCTTCCAAGGAAGCAGGCTGTGCAGCTGGGCTGTATTTGCTGGGCCAACCTGGGTGTTCATTAAAAAAAAAAAAAAGCGCACAAAAAAATGGTCAAAAACCATCCTAACTTGGACACATTTCACTGGGACATTCCTAATCTGTACCACAGTGGAGATACACAGCCCAGTGCTGCCTGGGCAGGTCTGCACCAGACCCCACGATGGGAAAAAAAAAGAAAAAAATGGTCAAAAACCATCCTAACTTGGACACATTTCACTGGGACATTCCTAATCTGTACCACAGTGGAGATACACAGCCCAGTGCTGCCTGGGCAGGTCTGCACCAGACCCCACGATGGGGTCACCACAAGTCATCGATGCCCATGCTATCCCCTCTCCCAAAAAAGAGGAGACGAAGGTGGCCTTGAGCTGGAGCTACTGAATGGTCAAAAACCATCCTAACTTGGACACATTTCACTGGGACATTCCTAATCTGTACCACAGTGGAGATACACAGCCCAGTGCTGCCTGGGCAGGTCTGCACCAGACCCCACGATGGGGTCACCACAAGTCATCGATGCCCATGCTATCCCCTCTCCCAAAAAAGAGGAGACGAAGGTGGCCTTGAGCTGGAGCTACTGAACGATTTGGCTCTGCAAGCAGCTCTCGGCGAGCGGTGGCAGCAGTGCCGTCTTCTACCTTGCAGAGAAAGCCTAGGAGACACTAAAGCTTACAGCTTTTGCTTTAATGGCTGGGGCTTGGTTGGCTGCTCCTCACACTGAGCAGAAGACACAAACCAGGCTTTATACCAAAGCACAGCTCCCCCTGACCCCTTAAGAGCAAAATAAAAAAAATTAAAAAAAAATCTAAAAGTCAAAAATAAATCTGTTTCCTCATATTGTTTAGCTGAGGATCAGTTTAACACAGGAGCTGTGAGATGGAGGAGTCCGGCGCTGCGTGTCGCCTCTCTGGAGAGGATCCAACCAGCGGCACCTCCCTGGGGCAGGGGAGTCCTTGCAACGCCGACACCAGCGCAGCCCGGACAGGCCACCGGTGCTTGCGAGGGTTCACGGGCAGCCAGCCCCGGAGCTCAGGGGACACTAGCCCGGTGGCCACTTCAGTACATGGCCTCGTTGTCTCCCACCGCAGTGAAAGGGACCCCATAGGTGCTCTTCTTGCTCCGCTTGCTCTTCTTGCTCCAGACCAGCAGCGTGCTGGCACTCTTGCTGTTCATCAGGCTCTTTCGGCTGTTCTCCTTGTTGCTCTTCAGCATCCCGCCGCCTGAGGACATTGCAGTTGCCTTCTTGTCTGCCTGTTTGGGGAGTGGAGAGGGGAGTGAAGCCAGGGCAGCAGCCTGGCTGCAAACACAGTGCCTGGCTTCAGCCCTGCACCTCCAGCCTGGGAACAGGACACCAGGGAACCTCTGCCACCCATGGAGCTGCCTGGCTTGAGGCTGAGTGAAAGAGCAAAGCTTCCACCCCTGGAAATCCTGCTTCACATTTGCTCAGCAAGCTGCAAACAAACCTGCTGTGCCAGAGAAGGCGCAGAGCCTCATTTAAGCAGACCAAAGCTCGTCTCTCCCCTCCCAGAGCTGCAGTTTTCCACTTAAGGCTTGGGAAGTGACTTACGGCTTTTGGTCCCTCCAAGCCTTGAAGGGTTATCACGCAGATCTCCACTCCCTCCTCCCCAGTGCTCTTCAGCAGCTGCACCACCTCAGCATGCTTGGACCACTTGCAGTCCTTGCCGTTCACCGAGATGATGTAATCCCCCTCCTTCAGCCCAGCTTCCTGTGGGGGAAGAAAGAAGATGCACATGTTGGAGCTCATGGATGCTGCTGCACGAGGTCTGCTCGGTGTCCACCCCACAGGTCCCACTATGCGTGGACACAGACCATGGGGATGACTGGGGTCCACCCTCCACCTACAGCTCCAGACAGCCGATGCCTTCATCATCCTAAAGAATTCACATCTGCTTTGCAGCATGCATGCAAAATGGGATGCTCTAAGGACTAAGGATCTCTTTTGCAGTTGGAGATGGTAGCCCAGGGGACACAACTGTGGTCCAGATATGGACCACATATGGTCTTGAAAATGATTTTAGTCTCCCAAAAAGGGACGTGACCCTGCTGCTAAGAAGTGTGTTGTTGCAGAGATGCCAGGCTCTGGATGGCAGGGTTAAGGCTGAGCAGTGATGAGGGAGGGGGGAGACTTTTTGGGCATCCCACCAGCAAGCTTCTGCCAGAAAACAAAGTTGCCCCTGATAAATCAGAAAGCCCACACAGTGAGTTTTCACTGAGATAATGAGTGTTTCAGACTTGCCTTCTTATTCCATCCACTTCCACATCCCAAAATGGGGGAGAAGGGAGCTGGGAGCTTGCCAAAAAGAGGCTGCTAGCCGTTGAAAACTGTGCTAACCTCCCTATTTTTTTTGTTTAGGAGACACCAAAGGAAATCTCAAATCTTTTGTAACACCCACCTGCAAGCCCTGGGCTGAGATCCAGCAGGGATGAGCCTCCACCCGATGCAGTAACCAAGTCATATAACTGAGTTTAAGACATAAAATCGCCCTGTACCCCTTGACACAACCCCTGCCACCCCATTTCCAGCATCCTCACAGGGATAGCAAAGGGCAAGGGTACTCACAGCAGCGCAGCCCCCCGGGATGACACCGGCGATGAGGACGGGGGAGTCTCCTCGCAGTGTGAACCCAAAGCCATTCTCTCCTCTCATCAGATGGACTCTCCGTGCTGGGTACCACTTGTTTTTGGCTGAGAAAACTGAGAGGGGACCCTGGGGTAAGGCAGAAACACAAAAAGCACCTTTTGGTGCAAGAACAACTCTCTGGGGATGCGCAGCCTTGCAAAACACCCACTGATGGGGAGGAGGCAGAACAAGAAAGACCGTCTTTCACTTCTCCAAGGATGAGGTATTGAACCTGCCTGGTGTTTTACCCTGCCTGCACACCCAAAACCACAGATTTATGCACAATAAAGCTAGATATGCTTAAAAAGCTCATATCAGACATTGGCTTTATGAGCAGCAGCAGTCTTGGGAGAGCTGGGAAAGACCTCGGGAGGTCTCTGGTCCAACCCTCTGCTCAGAGCTTAGGTCTGGACATCCTCCCAGTACTGCCCTGCTCCTGCAAGGCAGGAGGAGGTGGTTTTGGCACGGTCAGCAGGTTGGCAGCAGTTTAGACACTACAAACCTGGAGCAAATGAAACAGAAAGCTCTGATGGACAGAGCTGGCTCCTTAATTCCCTCCTTCAGGATATAAAACCCATCACCCGAGGAGGGATGATGGAGGTTTAGGTTTTTCACCACAGCCTGGCTCAGGAGGATGCAGCCCAGCTGGAGTGGTCCAAGAGCACAGTGCAAGGCAGTAGGATGGGTCACATATTCAGGGTCAGATCTGCCCTCGCCAGATCTTTCCTATTTTTCTGTCTTTTTCCTACTTTCCTATTCTAACAGGAGGAGGATATACCTGCCTGCCTTGAGGCTGTTCAAAAGCAGAGATGCCCAACCTATCCCTGGGGTGCTACACAGTCCTTGGAGTGCCTGGGGGACAGGGACAGCTCAGTCAGGTCCCACAGCAGCCTCGAAGCCCAGCCCTGATTCCTGGGACCCTGTAAGCTTAAGAAGAGTAGGGATAAAGGTCCAGTGGGATTTTCCTAGTGCCTCCCAGCTGGCAGGATCCTCCTCTGCTCCCCTCCAAAAGCTTTAACTAAAGGGTCCCTTTGGTCCTTCTTTGATAAAGTCCACCCAAAATGCTTGTGCCCACTCCCCCATGCACCAAAGGAGCTTTGTGACCCATTTAGGTCTTGCAGAGACAGACTTGTACCCTCCCACCCCTCCTCCTGCATGGGTCCCTGTCTGCGAGGAGGTGGCTCATCCTCCTTGGAAAGCCGTCCGTGAGCACAGCGGCTGCATCGGGAGAGGGAGAAGAGGCTAAGGGGAGGAAGGAAGCCAGGCAAGCAGAGCATGCAGGGGAGGAGATGTCTGTTCCCTCGGGGCAACCTCTATCCCATAGCCATACATACCAGCCTGTGGAAAAGGTCGGTCACCTTCACCTGGGAGAAGTTGGGGGATTTTATTTCTGGTTTCTGGTGCGTTTTGGCTAGTGGTAGGGAGAGAAAAGCACATACGGCGGGGTTAGGTAGTTGCAGCAGCTGCTGCCCCTATATCATGCTCCTCAGGAGGGGATGGTGTGACCTGTAAGACCTGGAACCTGCTCAGGCAGCTGCCAAACATGCAGCCTGGTGCCCCCACTCCCACCCGTGATGCTCCACCACTGTGCAGGGAGTTCTGGTCCACACACCACAACCTCACCATGCAGTTTGCCCACCCTATGCAACCTGCCCCAAATCTTCTCCCCAGCTGTAGCCCTAAAAAAACACTTACGGTGAATGTCTGGGGCATCTCCTGTTTCAAAGAAGTCCTCCTCGTGGTCGATTTCCGAATATTTGCTCAGCGAACGTTTGTGGGCGAAGGAGAGGACCTCCTGGAGGATATCCATCTTCCGCAGGATCTTGCACAAGCCATGGATCCTCATGGCTTCCTCGTGCTTCATGATGGCTTTTTTCAGATGAGCTTTGCCTGCAAGGGAGCAGAGAGATCGCAGCCTGAGCGGAGCAGCCCCGTTGCCGTTCCCTCTCCGCTCGCTCGGCTGCCCACGGATGACAGCAGCCTCTGCCGCTGTGTCACCCGACGTGACTCAGGGACAGCCCAGTCACGTTCGCAGCCTGCCAGGCATTCAACGTGCACTAAATGGAGTAGGTCCCAGCCGTCAGCTTGAGCCCCCGATGTAGGGCTGGGAAGGGACCTTGAAGGGTGACCTACTTCACTCCCCCGGCGCCAGCAGCAGAGCTGGCAGATGTTCCCAAAAAACGCCGGCGAAGGAGCTGCCACCACGTTGCGCCGCCCCCGAAGTCCCTCCTAACGCTTAACCTCAATCCCCTCTGCAAATTAACTTCTCTCCATCACTTTGTATCCCTGGAGGGGGTACATGAAGGACAATCGAGCCCTGTCCTCCTGGTGACAGCCTTGTAGCTTCAGGAAAATGCAACGTGTCTCCCTGTTTTCTAGGCTAAGCAAAGCCTTCCCCCTGTCCTGCAGGTCCTGCTTTCCATCCTCTTTGGCATCTCCTCTTGCTTTGCTCTTCTCAACTTGCCTTCAACGTGTTTCCATCCTCGTGAAAATGGCAGCCAAAAATGGCCAGAAGAGATGAAATCACGGTGACCCACGGGTATCAATGCAAGCATCTCCTGTGCGAGAGACTGCAACCAAGATCCAACGCTAAACTACCAAAAAAGATGTGCGTGTATATATATATATATACACACCCCCATCATGGAAACACGTGTGCCTGTAGCATTTCCAGTTTTAGGACACACGGTGGCAACATAACCCAAGGATCCGGGTTTGCTCCAGACTTAAGAGAGTCAGTGGTCTGAAGACCTTGATTTTTCCTCGTGAGAAGTGCTGTTGAGGAAATATTTTGGAGCTGATGGAATAGAGTCTCCAAAATAACTGTATCAAATGCAAACAATTGTGTTTTATCAAAGCACCCACTGCCAGCAAGGTTTTAGCTAGGTTTTAATGTCTACCAACGCCTCCTGCTATTTCTAGAGATTATCAGGAATAGAGGCTGGGGATGGAAGTTGTGCAAGCTTTTAGCTCCACTCTGCTGAAGATGGTGGAATACACCATGTCTGATATAACAGTGTTAGCAGACTAGGAGACAAGGGAAGGGGAAAAAATACCCTTTCAGGGAGGTGGTTTTAATGCTGCAAGTTTCTTCCCTTCCTGTAAACCAAAAGCAGAGCTGAAACTGGCATCTGTTCGTTTTTCCACCAGCAAATGTTAAGTGAAGCCCGTTCCGCCTATAAGAAGCGCAGTCAGAGATGGAAGTTGGGTCAATGCGCATTGGGAAACCCCATGATGGTAGCTGAGGGTGTCAGGGTGGTGTTGCCATTATACTCTGGTTTTGGGGTTCGTTTAAGGAGTCTCCTCATGCACATCTTCCACCTCCCATCCCCAGAAGTGAAATCTGGCTGAGCAGCTGGGAGGACTTTGCTGGTGCTGGCAACGTGACAAACTCATTCCTGGTGTGAAAGGAGTCTGGTCCCATGTGTGCAATGAGGGGAAAGATCACCAGGAGGCAGTTTGTGGGGGTGGCCAATGGGAGACGACACCCTAAAATCAGGGTGCTGAGCTTGCTCTCGTTGAGGAGGGGCTGCCAAAACACAACGTCAGCTGAATAAGCAACGCTCTGTTTTTCCCCTGAAGCTGAAAATCCGCATGGGAGGAAGCTCTCATCTCCCAAGTGTTTTGGTGCAGCTAAAAAAGCCACCCCCTGGCATCTGCTATGTCTTCTTGTCATCTCGCCAAGTCAGCAGCAAGCCCAAGCCAAGGAGCTTCCAGGATCTCAGTGTCCCTACAGATTTCTTCATGCTGCATTGGACAACATTCCCTGGCTCAGGACACCTCAGTGCCTAAAGTTTATCTGTCAAAATTGCTAGATGGGTTGGTGCAAGCACTGCAAGTTCGTTCTCAATGCCCTAATAGGGAGACATAATGCTTTCCTGCCTTCCCAGAGGCGTCTCTTTTCAAAGAAAACCCCAAAAAAGGTGGCTTTGCATGGAGAGACTCCCCGCAACAGCTCATCACACGCCTTTGTGGAGACCATGCATACACAGTTGGGGTTATGACAGAGCTCACTGCCAGCGCATCGAAGTTTCATCACAAGAGCTAGGGGCTCTGTCCCCATGGATGTGCGTACCCAGCTTTCTCCTCTCCTCAGGGTCCTGCAGCAGGACACTGAGCGATGGTCCCTCTGGCATGGTGACGTGGAACTGGATAAAAGCCTTCTCCTGCTCCGGTAGTTCAGCATCGGATGCCGCTGTGTGAAACAAATGGGTGGGGATGGGCTTAGAGAGAAATCAAGGCATTACTTGGCCACACAGACCCCCACAGTGGTGGGGACAAGGGGACAAGGAAGCCACATTCACGTGGCCCAAATAACTTCAGCAGCAGCTTCTCTTCACCCAAACAAGCCTGCAATGACCAAGGCATCACTGACAGGGAGAGGGATGAGTTATCACAATCAAGGCTGCACCAGGCTTTAAAGCTAAGTGCAGGATGTGTCCTGTGTACAATCATAGAATCATTTAGGTTGGAAAAGAACTTTAAGATAGAGTCCAACTGTTAACCCAACACTGCCAAGTCCACCACTAAACCATGTCCCTTAGCACCACATCTACAGGCCTCTTAAATACCTCCAGAAATGGTGTCTCAACCACTTCCCTTGGCAGCCTGTTGATAACCCTTTTGGTAATTATATTTTCCCTGATATCCAATCTAAACCTCTACTGGCACAACTTGAGGCCATTTCCTCTTGTCCTGTCACTTGGGAGAAGAGACCAACACCCCCCCTTCTGTAACCCCCTTTCAGGGAGTTGTAGAGAGCAGTAAGGTGTCCCCCGAGCTTCCTCTTCTCGAGGCTGAACCCCCCCAGCTCTCTCAGCCACTCCTCACAGGAATTGTGCCTCAGCCCCTTCCCCAGCTCTTTTCCCTTCTCTGAACCCCCTCCAGCCCCTCAGTGTCTTTCTGGCAGTGAGAGGCCCAAAACTGACCCCAGGATTCATGGGGCAGCTCCACCAGTACCCAGTACAGGGGGATGATCCCTTC